GTCGATGGGAAGATATAGAAGAAACACAATTTTGAGGTTAGTCGGTCATTTAGTCTTTTAGACTATATTTATACGAAAATTTGTGGTCCATTTACTATTGTAGGTCGAGTGTGGTAAAGGTATTTCATTGTCTTCATTGATGGGTTTTCAAGGTATGATTGTGTATTTAATCCACCGGAAGTCCGAAGCACTTGATGTATGTAAAATATACCAAACTAAAGTTGAAAGTAGTTGGGTATAGTGATTATGGTTTTAAGATCAGACTAAGGTGGTGAGTTTTATTGGGAGAATGGTAAGGAAGGTGTAAATCATAGTACTTTCAGTGCATACTTAAAGAGTAGGGTATTGTGCCACAGTACACCATTCCTAGTTTTCCTAAAATGTATATAATAAAGTTGCAGAAAAGAAAAAGTATAGGGATGTCTTATAGAGACAGAGTTATATAATGCAGATATCAAGGAGCTTGATACTCATACTATCAATGATTAATTTATTGAGCATAGTGAAAGATTAAAGGATTGAATATTTTTACTGTCCAGTATACCTATGAAGATAATTGATATATATCATACAAATTTGATGAGAGTGGCGAATCCAATGGGAGTTTAGAATGCTGTAATTTCTTTTTGCAGATGAGCAACTTTCAGTATCTATTCCATTTATTTCAGACTTCATTCCACTTTCTTTAGTGGTTTTATTTATAGTTCTTATTCTCACTCTTTCAGGTTTTTCAGCTAATCTCACTCATTTAGTTATTTCTCAGTTATAGTCTCTTCTTTCAGTTTCCAATCTAGTTTCTAAGCCTGCTTAGCTTAGGAGATCTTCTAGAGCTTGAAAGTATGCTGTAGTTAGTGATTTTGAGGTGTATGATAGATATAAGACAAGATTGATGACCAAGTGATTAAGCGAAAGTTAAGTGTTTATTTCTTTTAGATTTTTCTCCAGATTCATTAAAGGACTCTTTAAGAGTCATTCTTTCATTATCGCTCATTTATGGCTTAAGCAAGTTTTACACAAGTGGTATCTGAATTTTGATACAGTGATTACTAATTGTAGGTTCAAAGAGAATGTTATGGATAAATGCATATACCTCAAGTTCAGTGGGAGTCATTTTTTGTTTTCTTTGTCCTCTATGTTGATGATATTTTACAAGGTAGCAATGATATTCATGTGATACATGATATTAAAAAATTTATGTAAAGTTTTTGACATGAAGGACATGGGTATGCAAAGTATGTCCTTGGCATTATGATCCATAAAGATCACGCTACTGGAATACTTGGACTTTCTCTAAAGGCTTCTATTAATTAAGTATATGGAAACCATTTAAGGGTGACCAAGCGTAGTAAGCCCATTGACATAAAGTACATTTTCAAGCGTGAGAAGGTTAAGGTTTAAGTGCTATTAAGATTTCCCCATATGGTTACAGAAAGATTGTTGCAAATCCTCTTACTAAAGGTCTTCAGCCGAAGATAATACAGTATTTATAAAGTACGTGATTCGGATAGGTGTTTGAGAATCATTATGTTATGATGTCCGGTATTTCTTTTATATATGCTTACGCCTTGTGGTGATAGTAATTTTTTCTCCAATTTACACCTTATGGTAACAGTTATTTGTATGAAAAATAAAGTTATGAAGCATCATTATCATTATCTTAATATATGTGGTTTATGCACGTACTATTATGTTTGCCTAGGAGTGGTATTTCACTCATGAGGTTATTTGGGTTAGATGTGAGATTGGTACTACATCGGTAAATCCAAAATAACTATTAAAGGTTGTCTGAGAGTGATATTTCACTCATACAGTTGTTTGGGATAGATATGAGATTGACACCATATCGGTAAATCCAAATATAAGATTTTGTCTAGGAGTGATATTTCACTCATGAGGTTGTTTGGACTAGATGTGAGACTGACACCACATTTGTAAATCCAAACATAAATATTAAAGTTTGCCTGTGGGAGTATTTCACACTTCATGAGGATAGCTTGGGCTAGATATGGGATTGGCTCCATATCAGTAAACCCTCATACTGAACAAAAGGTTGACAGTTTGCTGTAATATGTTCAAGTAACATACCGCGATAGTATGAAGCAGGACGGATAGTGAGGTGTGCATTTAGACCACATGCAGTTTACACATCTCATTAAATACAGTAAAAACTACTTTATTTACTTGAATCCTAGATGGAATTAATTTTTAGATCATGGAACTGTTTAGACTAATATATTATTTTTCTACGTATTCATGATCCACTATTGAGGAAGTCTATGGAGGAGAGTGTTCTAAAGTTTCAATCCATTTATTTCGATAATTGTATTTTTATAAAACAAATTGAGTGGCCAATCGTCTTTTCTAAAGTGTGTTGCAATCCATAGTGTCATTTTTTTATATAAAACTTGGAGTACATGGACCAAGTGGGAGATTGTTGAAAATTTTTATATATATAAATAATAAAAATTATTTATGGTCCTATGCACTACGTTCTCTAAAATATGATTACAATGTGATTATTGATATTGATGGATTGGGTTGTACTTTCCAATTTAGTGGTCTAATTGGGAGTATAGTTTTATACGGTTGGATTGTGGTTTTCCAACTTATTTGGTATGATTTAATTTTAATCATTTATATCTAAGTTTTCATGATAGGAAGGGAGATTTATGTATGTTTATTTGTACAGAAGCCGTCTCTCCATATTGTTGTTATATATAAGGGTTTAGAATCCTTATTCAGCTCTATCGAAGAACAACTCTCAAAAGGAGATAAAGCACTCTAATGTTTTGCAGGATCACAAAGAATTCTAAGGCTATCCTCCAAAATCTAAAGATATATGTGCGTTAATCATCAATCAGGAACAAGACTAAATTATCTCTTTAATTAATTATACTATTCTTAATTTCTACATGCAGATTATTTGATTAAAACCCAACACTCAATCCCTACAATCCTCCCCTCTAACTTATCATAAAACAGGGTTTAGGTATACAATTTTATTAAAAAGCATCATTATGCTGTATTTTTCAATGGTCTCATAATTTGATCTGGGCTCGCTTTGTGCATGATAAGCTGGATAAGTGGCCGTGCATTACAGTATGATTATAAGACAAGAAAATTGGTTTGAATGTGACAAGCACTTGATATGTATGTGATTGTCATGGTATAATAAGTCAAGATCCCAGTTCTTGGTGGTGCTAATGGTGGAATGAGAATGAAAATACAGTGAAGTTAGGACAAAAGTTGTTGAAAAAAGAGCAGGCTATACTATGTAAAAAACGTGTGTGTGTGTGTGTGTGAGAGAGAGAGAGAGAGAGAGGTTGTTATATTCATTCCAGATTTATTTGCCTCATATTCTCAACAATATTAGCATATGATTCATTTCAAGGGACTGCTAGGTAGTGGTAACCAACCATCTGGCCCTTGTTTTGAATTATTCACTGTATGAACATTGCATGACTTGCATAAATACAAATAATGGAACAACCAATTCCTTGGGGCCACATAATTTGAGCTTCACCTGCGTGCGTGGGGGGGTGTTCAATGGTAGGAGTCTCGTACACCAGACTAATTTAAGTTAGTTAATGATCTAACGTGTCTAACCCCGCGCCCGGGGGGTGTGTCTTATGTGAGGGTATGTTACCCTCTCCGGATTTTCAATGGTAGGAGTCTCGTACACCAGATTAATTTAAGTTAATTAACGATCTAACGTGTCTAACCCTCTTTAGACTTCCAATAATATGACTCTCGTAGTACACTAGACTAGACTAATCTGGTCTAGCTAGTTAAGTATAACACATTTCAAGAAAAGGAACATAGCCAGTTGTTAACTAGCAAGAACAAAATCTAATTAGCAGAGAATTTCAACTAATCCTAAAGCTTATTTCAAGTGGTTTAAATGATAAGTCATTGACCAGACTCTAAAAAGAAACTTATTATATAAAAAGTGAGCAGTACTGTCTCTTACAACTGAGAAAAGGTGTACAAAGCACCTAATTAAAGAAGCATTAAAATACTTACTAATTATCATCATTAGCATTAATTAATTAGCAATGGCAATGTTCAATTCTCAACCAGAAAAAAGGAATTTAAAAATAATAAAAAAAAAAAGAGAGAAAAAAGTTTGTAATAAAATACTATATATGACCGGCCCTAATTGAATTTAAGAGTATATATTTACATCTTGCTATGGCTCCCAAGTCATGTTCTCTCAATTGATCTACTTTTTAATGCAATGCCTATTTTGCAGATTAGGAACTAGGAATTCAAGATTTTCATGATCTCCAAACAAGCACAATATTGATTCACAAAAATTCATATTGCACTTGTATATATACTATGAATCCACCAAATAAACATCCTCACCAGTCCACTATTACAAGAACTTCTAATTTTGGGCACACTTGGTAATCTATGTGCATGGTTAAAAATGAATGTCAACAAGGCCTCTCAAGTGAGCCACAAAAAATTGACAAGCCAAGAATGGGCAGCCTCCACATTGCAACTACTAACTCTCAATATTTTTGAGTGCACGCTTTTTATGTCAACGCGTCACATGATCAGTTTAAATTACTTACCCACAATTTCGTATAAATTTCGTGTAGTAATCAACTACGCAAGAACGTAATAATCACTCAATGGGTCATAATCTTTTCGGTATTGATGTGACAATATTATTGTGACGCATCCTAATATTCTGAATGGGTATGTCTCCCTAGAAAATAGCTAGCCAGCCATGTCCCCCATCTTTAGCACAGTAAAATGTAAATACATTCCATCAAATATTGCCATGAGAGCATCATGCACCATGAAAGTGGGATCCACACACCCCAAACAAAGGTGTACGGCAGGATGTACTGGTCAAGTGACCAGCTCATCATACTCACTGTCTAAATTGTCAAATTAGAATCTTTGATCATCAATAGATATGTATATACAGACATATACACACACACACACATATATATATATATAATAAAAAGCACTCACACCACCACTTCAAAAAGTCATCTTCATACCTCACTGATCAGAGAAAAAAGGGTTTCTTATGGGGGATGAAGATGGATCATCTCGGCCATCCTTAGGGTTCCCTCTAGGTCTAGCTCTTCTATTGCTCGTATTGGTCTGCATGAGTGGCTTCTTCTCCTGCTGCTTCTATTGGGACAAGCTTAGATCTCTCTTGCAACTTCCTGCTGATGAAACAAACGAAACCGAATCCGAAACCGCTCAATATTCATCTCCAAAAACAACCATGGTTAGTTTAATTATTTTATTTTTAGAATATTTAGTTATTAGCATGGTATATGTTCTATTTTTTTGTTTTTCTTGCTCATATTTTGTTCTTCCTATTAATTATCTCTTTGGAGGAGAATATTATGTCTTACTTGTACTTTTTAACTGCCAACAGATAAAAAGTGTTCCTTCCTTATTTTTTTTACAATATTCATATACATATATATTGTTGAAGCTAGCTTAATATATAGTATTAATTACTATGATTAATTATATCTTTTATATATATATATATCTCTTATGTTTATTATTATTATTTTTTTTAGAAGCCAGAGAAGAATCATGACGAGAGCTTCACGGTATTGATGCCTGGAGATCATGTACCCAAGTTTGTAGCATTGCCTAGCCCACGTGAACCCCAACACTTGGAAGAAATCGTAGTGAAGAAAATCTGAAGCTCTCAAGTAAATTTTTTTTTTTTGGGGTCCAAATTAGCACCCAGGTCATGTTCAGTGTATATATACCATTGAAATAGTGAATTATTCTGCAATTTTTCGAGGAATTGGTTTTCGGGCTTGTGCCATAAAATCCATTCTTTTTCACTCAGATATAAAGAAAATTATTATTATTATTATTATTATTATTATTATTATTTTAACGAAGAATTAATTCAATCATTAGTCACTTCGAACTCTCTCGAATGATTGAAATTTTCATTCGCATGCAAGAAATTAAAGTAAAAATGACTGAATTCATCTCATGAAGTCCAAGAGTGTTGTAACAAAAGCTATATATACATATATATATATATATATGGGAAATTTTTTATAATTTTGTGTGCATGTCCAAGTTTTCTAATTAATTAGTGTAGATGTTGTTATTTTATTTTATATTTATCTTTCACTTGAAGACTCATAAACCCACCAACTAACAAAGCCTTGGCCTACATATTTTTAAAAATGAATAATTGTCAACAGCCAATAGGGGGCCTCTTAAAGGAATGACAAGGCCAAGAATTGATAACCTACTCAATGCTGAAGAGACTCCAATTCCTTCGAGTGCTTTTCGTGTAATATATATTATCATCATGTTGCACCAATGAGAAATGTGAAAGATTAGGTTACGGAAGCGTTGATACATTTCTTTATTTTGATTTGACTAAATGGGGCCTAGCTCACCAGAGTGTGTCCGTGTTCAATTTTTTTTGACTTATTTTCAATTGGTAAAAAAAAAAAATTTTTGATTAAATAATAATTAAAAAAAAGTATTCAAAAGGCAAAGTAGATGTTTCAAAATTCGTTGACCATCATAAACTTAAGGGTAATAATTTCAAACGGTGAAAATTTAACTTTCTTTAACGCAAAGTAGACGTGTCATGTGTACATGAGTTTTTTGGCCTAGTGTATCATTGAATGATGTAAAAAAATTGAATTTAGTTTATATCAAACTTCATAATTGCAAACCTAATAATACTATTTTATAATCCATTTAGTTCGATAATCCGACTGATTATTTGAGCGTGTCCAGTTTATTAATGGTCATATATTCGGCTCAATAAGTACAGTGTAATTTTGTGTTAAAAAAAATCAATGTCAAAAGAGATCACCATTGAGAGAGAGAGAGAGAGAGCAAAAAAAAAAAAAAAAATGAAGAGAATTAAGTACTTGACTTTAAAATAAAATATATTTTAGGTCTTTCAACCTTAATTGCCGACTCTTCCTTCGAATACAACGTAGTTGGATCCCGTTAAAACTCTTAAAAAATTTCCCGTAAATATCTATTTATCTTCAACTCATTCCGAATCACATTATATTCGGAGTAGTAGTCGGCAACTGAGGTCGGAAGATCTATCACTTTTTTTATATAAAATAAGAAAGAATAGAGTAAGGGAGGGAAAAGGAAAAATAATGCTAAAAACATTTCGGCTATGTAATTAGTTCATATTATAGATAAGGTAATGATGTATTTACAACATATTATATATTATAGGGTAAAGTAGTGTAAAAACAAATCCTAAACTATTGCCTATTTGCATATAACTCCCCTGAATTTCAAATTGTCTCTCTGAACTATTGATTTGTTACAATTAAAGACAAATTCATCACAAAAGACTATTTTACTCTTTCTCATTAAATTTATCATTTCTTATTAAATTATTTTATATCTTTTCGCTTATCTAAAAATTAATTAACCTTTTACCTTAATTTTATTATTAGTATCAATTTATCATAAAAGTAGAAAAAATAAATAAATTTATAACTACTATTTTCTAAAATGATTAACTTATTATCAAAACTTAACAATTATAATAAACCTTATTAAACTTAGTTGACACTTTTTGACCTTAAAGTTTTTTTTTTCTTTCATACAATATATAATATATTAATGAAAATTTAATAAATTAATAAAATAAAAAATACCTCATTTGTTATGCAATACATTAATGAAAAATTAAAAGAATATAGTTTTAAAAATTTCTTGTAACGACCCAAACCCGAGGGTCTGAATCGCTAACTAGGTCCTTACCCGAACCCGAGGTCATCTAAGGTCATTACCGTCATTTCAAATATCAAGACATGATTTGTACCTCATTTCAAGTCTGATAGTGTCCCATAGCATCATCAAGTAGGTTGAAATTGGCCACAGTAGAAGAAAAAAGCCAAACAAATGAGGACTTGAAATCGGTCGACGTGAAGAGGTACACGTCGACTAGTTTGGCTAAACCGGTCAACGCGTACCAACTTCACGTTGACTAGTTTAGCATTCCCAAGCCAAAAACCTCACTGGAAGATACCGGTCAACGTGAAATCCCTAGACGTCAACCGGTTTGCCCTGCTAAGGCCTGTTTAGCCTATACATGCTGGTTTGAAGTCCTGACACTCCTTTGGTCCATTTAAGACCTCAAATACAGTCTAAACCTGCATGTCCCGAAAACATACATTTGACGGTATAAAACATAATTAAACATTCATACATTTAGTTAAACCGAAAATGAGTTCAATGCATCAAAAGATGGCCTTAAGCCTTACATGTACAACCTTAAAACAAAATGAATTTCCATCTATAGCATACATCTCTGATAATACATTTATACATGTCCAATAAACATAATTGAAATTACAAATCCGCAAAATATACAAGGCTTATACATGTCTAGGTCAAGGCTACACAAAAAAATGAGATCGTAGCTACAAAAGATATCAAAACAGTCTACTAATCCATTCTAACTTGTGAATGAGCATCGTTAACCACTTTCTTCCCATGACCTGAAAATAATAATGAAGAGGTGAGCGCGGAGGCTCAGTAAAAGTTGCCTAAGGCGTCAACTTTGGACTCTCGTGAGTTACACGTCACACAATCGAGATAAAGGAAGACCGAGATCATGCTTGGGGATTTCATAACATTTAATTCACAAATCAATCTCAACAATAACTTTTAGGCATTTTTTGAACACAAGTATACACAAGATGCAATACAATGCCCACATATCCCACTCTTGGTCTCAACTGACCCCAACCCAGCCTCTACTGGCCTTAATTTGGTCTCTACCGACCCCAAACCAACATTTTGAAAATCGTTAACCGACTTTACCGAGACGAGATTGATAGTTATACCTGATTTCAAATTCGGCAACCATTTGGGGCCTAGTATCAACTTTTTCACGCCCTACACCAGGCCGCGCTCCCTTTAGGTCAAGTTAGCACCGAACTCACAAAATTCGGTTCAATTTCATAAAAAAAAAAATTATTTCAAATTCCCTTTTATCATTCCCCTTTTCCCACCATGCAATGCAAATGCACCATCTCATATCAATATAACCTCAATTCCATTTGTATAATAATGACAACATTAACATGGCATTCATAATATAAAAGTTGTGATCATGGTATCTTTTCAATATTCAATCATAAGCATGTTTTTTATATAACTGAGTACCACATAATCATGCTAGCACTTAACTTCAACGTAAAATGACACAATTAATCATATAAGCATGCTTTTAGGCACTTAAACACACCATTAACATTCACATAATAACAATTTCATTTTAGTTTTTAAATCTCAAAATTTAAGGAAAAAAAAGGTAGAATTGCTCAATAAAAGATAAAGTTCGAAACATTAGGAGAACCCCTACCTCAAGAGAAGAGCAAAACCAAGAAAACCCCCAAATTCAGCCCAAATCTCAAAAATCCAAGGTGCTTAAAATCGGACTTTGCTCCGAACAAATCTAGATGGAAAGGTGTAGATCCAAGCTTAATTGGGAGGAAGAAAAAGAAAAAGAAAAGTTATAGGGAGAGGGGAAGAGAATCACATAGAGAGAAGAGGAAAAAATGGTCAGGAAGTGACCATGAGGCCATATATGATAACCATTGCCAATGGTGGGTCCTACGAAAATCCAAAATATCTCTTTTGTCTTATATATATATACACACACACACAAACATACACTAAACACATAGCCACATAAATATGAACTAAACAATGATATATGAAATACAACGACCTCGAAAAATAATTTTCGTGCATGACAAATTCGATTACAGGTCCCGCCCAAGACCTCCCGACCCGAAAGACTAAAAAATACTAGCACGGCTAACAATGCATTTTTAAGAGTCCCGAACTCGAACAAATGCCCCCAACAACTCTCGGGACTCACTCGGCACACCCTACTGTGTCCAACACGCAAAACAAGACAATAAAAATAAAATAATCCGAAAAATGAAAAATAAGAAAAATGAGAAACATTACATTTCTACTTAAGATTTTTATTTAAACAATTATTATTTTTTTCCTAAATATTAAACAATTTGTGCAAAATTTTTTCCTAAAAATTAAACAATTAATTTTAAAAAGTAAAGGTAATTTTTTGCAAATTTAATAAAGAGTATGTCATCAAAATAGTATTTTTAAAAAAAATAGATTAAGTGTAATTCAATAAAAAGGGCAATATGGTCATTTAATAAAAAATACTCAAAGCATTAGGGCATTTTGTAACTAAATATGATAGCTCAAGTGGTATTATGTGCAAAATATAGTTCAAATAAATTATTAGCAAATTCGAACATAGTTCAAGGGAGTTTTTTGCACCTTACCTTATATTATATTATGTCAAATTAAATTAACATCAAATGATAGGTCACATTCAATTTATTTAGCTCAAAGCATCTCCAATGGTTGTCTATATATATATATATACATGAAGGCTCTCATACGGTCCAAAATAACGCACTTTTCAATGAACCAAAAGTCAATTAGAAAAATTACACTTTATTACTTTATCAAATCTAACCATAGTTAATTTACCATAATTAGCCAATACTTTTATTCAATCTTTCTCTCCTTGATCTCTTCCATTGTCCTTGCAGTCTCAACTACTACCGCCATAATCACACTATCTCCACCACTACAGCCACAACACAACTACCATATTCATTCTCCAAAATCGGATCCAGGTTCACAACTATTAAACGCAAGTACTTCTATATCTAGAGCCAATAAATTGCCAAAATTTGGAGATTTTTTTATTTCTGTCTCAGTATTGAGCTATGGAGTTCTAGAAAACTCAAATTTAGAGACCTTTTATTGTTTCCATGGCAGGAT